CCAACCATTTCCATATTTCAGCTATTCAGTGCCACATGTGCTTGGATACGTTCCATATTGAAAGTGTTAGCAGAACTACATAATGAACCAGATTTGAAGATCAATTTGAAATTCGAAATTGAGGTGAGCTCAGGGCTATTTGATTCACCGATTCCAGGGATTATCGCGTCCTGTTCATGCAGTTTTATGTAATTTTTTGATGGATGACAAGTTCGAGTGGCGTTTCTTAGTTTAGCCAGATATCCACCTTGATTGGCCATTTCAATTGCCGGGACACTTTCACATGCACGATTTCGTGCTCGGTTGATGAGCAGTCCACGCAGCGTTTAGACTCTGCGATGACCCAGATACGATGCATGCTCAGAGACGCCTTTGCTACTTCATCAGCAACCTATGCCGTAGGATGTTGTAACTGTTGTGTTTCTTTCAGGCAACGTCAAGCAGCACTAGTGTTGGAAGTACAAATAGAACTGTGAGTATTTACTATATATTATATTATGTATTACTTTTCAAACCTGTGGCCACCTTTTTATAAGTTTTGGAATTGTCGGAGGTAAAGGCACCGTTCGGGTTTGTCCGACGGGCGGAGTCGGGTAACGGTGCCGCAGACACGCCGTCTATGGCTGTGAAAGAACGCATGGAGAGAAGGGATCGCCAATGATGTCGTTTCCAAACTCCGCCTGTCCGGCACTTCCAAACGATGTCTCTGAGTTAGGCAGCATTCAGACTTCGCGTCGGTCGCACGTTGGAGGCGCTCGGTGCGCATGCTTTCGCGCTTTCGCCTGCGTCGATCACGTCGAACGCGCGGTCGAAGCGCTGCATCGCGAGGTCTGAAGCGCTGCCTTAGAGTGCCTTCAAACTTTGCGTCGGTGCCTGTCAGCGTTATTAGCGACTAGGAAAATATAGGTATCGATTATTGCTAAAAATGCTGGTGAACGCTCAAGCTGGATCGATACCTATGCTTTCCTAGTCGCTTAACACACTTCCGCAAAGTATGAACGCTTTCAGTGAGCCTGAACAGCCTGAACTGCTGCTTATTTTTCTTTCAAATGCCCTGAATGCTCAGTCGTTCCAGGGTAATTCGGTGTTGTCATATACGAATGTGGACACACTGGTTTCGGCGACGGAAAAGGAAGGTGCAGAGGTTGCGCAGCCGGACATTTCGGTCGTTGATAAAGTACTCTTCTTATTCAACAATCTCTCTCAGAGTAATTTAACAACCAAAAAGGATGAGGTTAGCGCCGTTCTTCGACTTCCTGCTTACTATTTACATATTTCTGTTGGGGACGGACAAGACAATCGTAATTTTTCGTCGTGCACGGCGTATCGTGCGGCGACCTGCGTCTAATTCTCTATGTGCAACAGTTTATCGATTGTAAAAGCGGAACTCACGCGAATTCGAGCGGGACAAGACCCCATGCTGCATTTTATCGATCTTTCCCGTCTTTTTAACCTTCAGATTCAAAGCCAAGCTAGACAACTCGTCTATTGCATACGCGGCGTCGCTCGCCACGCTCATCGCGGCATGTTACGATTGTCTTGCCACATTTCCCCATGTCCTGCAGTGAATCGATATATCATTTCTAGGTGTTGGCGCTAATTGATGAGCACGGTGAACCGTTTATTCGATGGTTTGCTCAATATGTGGTCATGAAGCGGGTATCGATCGAACAAAACTTCCTGCCCTTGTATAATCAATTTGTACAAGCGATAAACCATCCACTCCTGGACGCGCACATCAAGCGAGAAACGTTCAGAAATATTAGGGTAAATTTTTGGATTTCAAATTGACGCTGACGTTTGCTCCTTCTAACGCCTCTAGGATTTTAGGTGCTATGATAAGCTATTTTTCAGATTTTGTTACGATCTGACAAGCGACAAGCTGCTTCGAACTACAGTGACCGACAGTTGTTGAAGAATTTGGGAATGTGGCTGGGTTCTATCACAATAGCCCGGAATAAGCCTATTCTGATTCATGTAAGTAACTTGGTCTGTGCATTCAACAGTGCTCATGTTTACCGCGTTATTCACCCGCTTGCGTTCGTCCCGCCCCATAATGTCTCAGTTAGTTTTGGCATCAGGTTCCAAAGCGCATGTTTCACGCCAAGTTAGTGAGATATTTGTGTAGTGGCGCGAACGCCAGGTAGTTTTGGCCAAGCAGACGCGTTTCCCTTGTTCCAGAGGTCAAAGTACCTCAGGAGCGAGATTCTAGCCAAATCTACTCAACGAGTGAAGTTTCAATCAAAATTTGGCCAAGATTTCAAAGAGCGG